TTTAAAGATTTTATTTTATTTATTTGACAGAGAGAGATCACAGTAGACAGAGACAGGCAGAGAGAGAGAGAGAGGGATGCAGGCTCCCCACCGAGCAGAGAGCCCGATGCGGGACTCGATCCCAGGATCCCGAGATCATGACCTGAGCCGAAGGCAGCGGCTTAACCCACTGAGCCACCCAGGCGTCCCAACAAAAGAGAAATTTTAAAGGCATTATTTTTTTTTAAAGAAATGAAATAATTTTTAAAATATGTGATAAAGCCAGTTTATAAATTAAGGTAGTATACATATAACAAACTTTTTAGAAGGGGGAAAATAAAAATGGTCAGGAAGCCTAAGAGCAGATAAATTAAGCTAAAACAATTTAATAGACAAACTACATACTGTCAACAACGAGGACACAATACACTTGAAATCATTTGAAAGAAAACAAGGTAACAGTTGAAAAGTATGCAATGAGAAAGAAAATGAAGGGCATGCTGTATAGGGGGCAGCTGGAGAGATGGGGTGACCTCCCAGCCAGGAATCTGTTGTGGGCAGCACCGAAACCCCAGCAGCTTTGTCCAGTTCATCCTCCTCCCGTCTGCCCCTCAAGAGGTAGGTGTGGGCCGCAGGTCAGCTTCCCATGCCCACTCTGGAGTCCCTCACATCCAGCTGGAGCTCAAGTTCAAAAGATGCCCCAGGTTATCCAACATCATCAAGGATCCAGACTCCTCATGCCTTCAGTGGTTGGGAGAAAGGGCCCTTCCTCCATGTTGCACCCATCAGACAACAGACCCCCCCATCTCCCCTCCTACCTCTCAGAATGCTCCATGGAGAAAGCTCTACTGGCATCTCATTGTCGCGCCTAACCTTGCTCCCCTGAATCCCACCAGGCTGCTAGGAGGAGCAGGGCTTGGTCCCAGACCCCCATCAGGGTGCTCTGCCCTTTTGTTCCCCAGACCCACATGCCATGAGGCTATTCACTTTATCCCTTGGGCACTTCTTTACCTCACTGGGCATTTGCTTCAAGCAGCTGGTCCCCCCTCCTCTGGTTCACACCCCAGGGAGTTAAAATGTCCCCAGAGGAGAGAGATTGACCGAAGAGAGTAACCTTTAGGTTCTGCTCTCTCCTATGGGCTTTCTCTAGCCATAGCTCCGGGTGACTTGGCCCACAGAGGCAGTGCTCTGTTTAATTTCCTCTAATGCTCAAAGAGGATGCCGCCTTCTCCAGTCACCTGCTAGCTTTAAAACCCCAGCCTGCTACCTGGTCACAGGTCCATACTTCCTGCATAGTTGTTCCTAAAATAAACTCCCCATTTTAGCAAAATCTAAACTATCTTATCCCCAGTATATAAAGCTGAGCATTTTCATACTGATTTTGTTCAGAAGGTAACCACCTGGTTTATAATACATGCAAAATTTATTCGTTAACCTCCCTGATAATGTCTCCCAGTTAAAAAGTCACTATGTCCCCACTGTAACTTAAATATTTTTTTTCTGAATGGTTTCTAAAAAAAATCAACTCTGGACAAAATGTGAAAACAACCCTAATGTCCATCAACAGATAAATGGAAGAACAAAATGTGTGTGTGTGTGTGTGTGTGTGTGTGTAAAACCGTATTACTCAGCCTTCAAAAGGTAGTGAAATTCTGATGTATGCTACGATATGGATGAACCTTGAAAATATTATGATAAGTGAAATAAACCACACACGAGGACAGCTACTGTATGACTCCACTTAAACAAGATACTTAGAGGCAAATTCATAAAAAGAAGGTGGAATGGTGGCTACCCAGGGGCTGGGAGGAGGGGGTGAAGGGGAATCATTGCTTAATGGTTACGGAGTTTCTTTTTGGGGGATTGAAAAGTTCTGGAAATAGTGATGATAGTTGCACAACATTCTGAATGTAGTTAACGCTACTGAACTATATATTTAAAATTTGTTAAAATGGTCAACTTTATGTAATGTATATTTTGTCACAATATTAAAAATACGAGGAGGAGGGAGAAAGGGAGGCAGGGGCAGAGCAGGGGAGCACAGACCTTCCTGCAGGTACCCACCTACACGGGCACCAACATGTGCGTGCCAGACAGAAGAGGCATGTGCCTGGCAGGCAAAACCAAAAACGAACTTACCCTAGTTTAACCAGTACACTGGTACATAAAAGGAAACCTTGATGTTCTTAAAACTTGACCAAGGTCTGAATAAAACCTCATCTTTCAAATTGAACAAATTACTTATTAGCTGGAGAAAAGTGAAGGGAAGTTTGGAGTCAGCATTCTAGGGTTTTTTACTGCTGGGTCCAAGTCACTGACCTCTAAAATTATCCTGGACCTCACTCTCCCTCCTTCCTACTTTCTGGAAAACTATCAGTCCCCTACACTTGCCCAAAGAGGTCTTTGCCCAGGTCACAGAGCTGCACTTTGCCATTCCCTAAAATCCACCGCCTCACCTCTGTCTGCATTTCCTTATGCCCAGTTCAGGAAAAGAACTTTCTCCTCTTCCACCCCATTCTCTCTCAAACACACACAAAGTCAGGAACATCCCACCTCTGCCAGAGTTCCAGGCCCATAGGCACTGATTGTGACTTTTAGATTCCTCAGGAAGACATCAACCATCAGCTCTTGCTCCACAGAAAGGCCCACAGGTGTTCTCAAGGCTTCTCTGTCAGTGGCCTTGGGGTTGCAGGTGGCACCTTGCCCATCCTTTGCTTGGTCGGGGCAAACTCATGGCTGGCTGTAACTCCCATAACAACTTCTCAACATCTCTGCTGTCTTCAAACCTTTGTATCCTCCCTTTGGTTTTTAGAGCCATCTAAGCTCTTCCTTTTTTATCTCGAAAGACTTTTTGGAGGTGAATTTCATACAACATAAAATTAACAATTTTAAAGTGTACACTTTGGTGGCATTTAGTACATTCAGGATGTGAAGTCACCACCTACATTGAAACTCAAAACATATCCATTGCCCCAAAAGAAAACCTGCGGCCATCACTCTCCATTTCTTCTTTCCCCAGCCCTTGGCAACCCCCCTGAACTGTCTTGGTCACCTGCTTTGCAACTTCCACTTTTGGGTCTCAAAGCTTATTTCTTCTCTCTCATACCTGGTGCCTGGTCTGAAGCTCCAGCCTAACTTCCTGCTGTCCTTAGCCCACAGTCTTGACTTAAATATCCTCCTTCCAGTTCATCAACAGTCACGTTCACGTGTCTGGCCTTGGGCCCCTTACCTGAACTCTGCAGGAAAGCACTGCTTCAGACTCCACTGACCGAGTGTGGATTTGGTCTGGGGAATATGAGTAAAGGAGTAGCCTCCAGGAAAGGCCTGGCCTCTGTCCCTGGCTGTTGGAGCACCCTCCGTGGATCAGGCAATAGGGAGCAGTGGGGTCCCCTGACTTCCTCTGCCTGAGGTGGGACCAGAGGCTCATGGGAAGCCGTCCACCAGTCAGTGGGGTGGGTGCCCCTTTGATGTTCTTTGTCCAGTACCCCCATCATCCCCACACTTATGACAACATATTCCACCTTGCTGCCTCCTTGGTTTCCCAGGCTGCTCTGACCTGTAAGCCCCTGGAGGGCATGGACCATGTCTATGGGGATTAGCAAACCAATTAATTGTCACTTAAGAAAACTTTCAAAGCATCAAGGCCACTGTGGGCCTTCCCCATCTCTAGCACCAACTGGAGCCCACTTGGGAATTCCTCCTGAGAGGCCATTTGGGCCAAGGACAGCTGGTGGGAATCTCCTCTTCCTCTACCTCTCAGAGAGGCTGGGCCCAAAGCCCTGCCATTAACTAGAAGCTGGAGCTGGGAGGAAACAGAAACTTCATTTTAAAAATGGAGTGAGATGGTGGGGGGGGGGTGGACACAGTGTAACAGGAGATTTAGATGGCCCAGTCTTCTGAGAAGCATGCAGAAAAGGTACAAAAGCTGCAGGCATGGAAGAGGTAGAATGCCTGGTAGAAGGGATGGTGGGTCACCCAAAGTTAGGGAGAAAAGAGACCCAACGGAGGGCAGCAGAGTTGTGGCCCACAGTCTTGGGTAACAAAATATGAATGTTTGCAGTCATCCCATGCATTTGATGAAAGGTCCCCATTTAGGGGAAATGTGCCAGCAGCAATGCCAATTGGCAGGTTTGGGCCTGGTTTGAGACCTGACTGATCCTTCACAGGAGAGAAGCTATGAGGAGGCATACTGCCAAGATGGGGGTATGTCACAAGACCCAGACTGAAAGGGTGCCTGAACTTCCTGGGTCATCCTGGGACTCGGCCTCTGGGTCAGGAGACCTGGTGCCTGTGGTGACCTGACTGGACAAGGTGCACAGTGGGGCACACACCACACTGCCACTGTATCAGAGGCTTAGGGACAAAAAGGTCAGGCCTGAGGTTTCTGTAAAAATCTGGAGTCTCTGAGCACTGGGACAAGAGGCAGGGTGCCAGGTGTTGCAAGTCTGGGAAACTCACCAATCCCATATCCTCTTCCCAGACACACACAATTCCAGCCTCCCCTCAGGCATGTTAGAGCTATGTGACTGGGGCCCGGCCAGCGCGGTAGGGGCCGCACCACTTCTAGGTCTAGCTGGCATTGAAATGCCACTCCCTGTCCCAGGCTGCCTTCCCTTTCAGCGGACACAGCGGGTGGGGGCCAAAGCAGGCTGATGGCATTGTGGGCCCCAGTCCTTCTCCCAGGATTCTTCTTGCTCTCTTCTTGGCACCCTTTGCTATGTGATTTCGGTTCCTCTCACTAAAGAGGCAGGGCCCATTTCTCTTCCCGAGTCTGGGATGTCAGCCGATGTGATACCCAAGAAGCTCGGAAAAGCATTTGCTTGTCTCTGCTTCATTTTTGCTCCTCTGCGGTTACCTTAACACCACCATTGAGTTCACGTGCTGGAAGATGAGCCGTCCCGGTCGCCCTGTCCCTCCAGCTGACCCCACGACAATGTGCGAATTAGGTTATAGGAGACCAAAGTGCTGCTGGACAAGCCCAGCCTAAATTGCTGATGGTGGACAAGTGAACTAAAGAAACGTTTATTTGTGTGTATTTGTTTTATTCATTTGTTTTAATGCAGCCTTCCCGTGGAGCTAGATAAATCAAACAGCAGCCACCCCAAAAGACAGAAAGGAACAGAGCCACCCACCACCATCCCCCTGGTTCCCACGGAAGGAACAGTAAGCTCTCACGGTGCCATCACACTGAGACTCTGGGGTTTGCTTGCTACCTCAGTAGAGCCGGCCCTCTCCTAAGCCACCAGAAAAAGAATCGTGGGCCACCTTCCTACTCATGCGCCCAAGAGGCCTGAGCAGAGGGCAGGCAGTAGACAAACGTAACCAAAGGAACAGCAAGTAGCCTCCAGCACAGGGGAGAGAACTGATGCAACTTCTGGAAGCCCATGCGCTGGTAGAGGGCCAAGGCCGAGTGCTGCAGCATGCTGGTGGTGAGGATGACTTGGCTGTAGCCCTGGTCGCGCGAGAACTGGAGGACGGTCCTGACCAGGGCTTTCGCTATCCCCAGACGTCGGCGATCCAAGGCCACGCACAGGTGAAGCAGCTCCAACTGCTCATTGTGCAGGGAGCGCTCCTTGACAGGCAGCGCCCCCACGATGCCCACCACCTGCCCCTCAGTCTCAGCCACCCAGAAGCAGGAGCCGGGCTCACTCAAGTAGGACTTGGTGATGTCGGACATGTCTGTGCGCAAGCACTCGGCTGTAAACTTGGTCCAGGGGTATTTGCAGAGGAATCTCAGAGCAGTGAGGAGGGTGGCGCTGGCTATGAGGGCCAGCAGCCAGGAGCCAGAGACCAGGAGGAGGCCGAGGGACGCCCCAAGCAAGAGCACCAAGGTTCGGGGCAGCTTTAGGATGTGGCGGAAGGAGGCAGGGCCATACTCATCCAGTGCGTGGAAGAACAAGTCCAGGACCTGTGTACGGTCACTCTCCTGGTATTTGCGGATGTGGTAAGGAGCCATGGAGGACTGCCGTGCCTGAACCTTAAAGTCCACAAGAGTGAGCGACCTTCCTGGCAGCCCTGGGGAAGAGAAAGGAAGCCAGATAAGTGCCCCATCTCTACCACCTCCCGGGAGTGGGTGAGACACTGCTCAGGGGATTTCTGCTTTTGCCCTAGAGGATGTAGGAAACAGCCTCCCCAGCAGCCCCCAAGTAAGAGTTTCAACAAAGGCTCCTTCCCCCTTGACTGCAAATTTTTAGGCTGCTGAGGTGGCATAAGAGTCAAACATCAGGGCGCCTGGGTAGCTTGGTTGGTTAAGCATCTGCCTTCAGCTCAGGTCACGATCTCAGAATCCTGGGATAGAGTCCCATGTCAGGGTCCCCACTCAGCAGGGAGCCTGCTTCTCCTGCTACTCTCTCTCCCTCTGCCTCTCCCCGATGGTGCTTTCTTCCAAATAAATAAATTAAATAAATAAATAAAATCTAAAAAAAAAAAAAAAAAAAGGAGAGAGACAAGCATCAAAAAAGTCCCAGACTTGATACCCAGAGCAGGGTCCCAGGCTCCAGTCCTCTCTCAAGAGGCCTTCAACCCCAGTCCTCTCACCTGCTACCACAACAGACTTGAACGTCCAGGGCGGTGTCAGGACGGCCTCTGCCCTCAGTCTCTGACTGGAATCCCAGGAAAGACTGTGCAGGGCTCCCTCCACCACCAGGAACCAGCCCCTTCCTGGATGACCACCTGTTTGGCTGGCTTCTGCACACTGGATAATCATAAACCCCAGGATCAAGAGGCGGGGCTATGGTGCAGCCGGAAGCCCATTCTCCACTGACCTCTGATCACCAGGGAATTAGCCTGCCAGGGGAAGCAGGGTCTGGAACATCTCAGGGGATCTTGCCTTGGCAGACGGCCTACACGTTCCTCCCTCGGTGGTTCGCGCCTGGAGCATGTCCCAGCTGGCCCCTCGATATGCCCTTGTGTCCACTTCTGGTCCCTTCTGGGACACAGCTTCTGGGAGCCTGGGGACTGCACCTCCCGCCTTGTGCTGTCATCACAAGCTAGAGTCCGGACCCGTGGCTCAGCACGCAAGGTGCTCTCCCCCTGCCTAGCTCTACCCGGTCTGAGGGAAACTGATCGTTTGCAGTTCGCCGGCCTCATCTCACTAGGCTCCATCTTCATTCATTCGTTTGTTCAAGGTACTGTCGTGTACGCTGCCACGACTGCGTGCCTGGCGGCCTCTTCAGCTCTAAACAACACTGACAAAGCCGGGGACAGCCACTGCTATGACGCGCCCCTGGTGTGTGCCGCTGTGAAATATTTTGCACTGAGAGCAACTAAAACGGGGGAAAATTCAACAGAAAAGCCCTTCTCTGTGGCACATGTGTGCTGTCCGGGGGGTCGCTTCGGCCCTGGAAACATGGCGGGCGCTTCTCCCCACGCACCCTCAAGGCCCGCCTCTATTAATAGTCTCCACTGCTCCTGAAGCCGGGCTCCCGTCCTCCTCGAGCTTGTGTGTTAAGCGTCATGGAACGCCCGTCGGGAGAGGCGCCATGCGGGCGGCCCGGCCCGAGCTGAGGGCCTGGCACACCCAGGTTTTCCGTGCCAGGGGCTCCTCAGCAGTGGCCAGCAGTGGCTAGAGCCGTGAGGCGCGCGGCGCGGCGCGGGGAGGGACCTGCTGCCGCGGGCGTGATGGGGACTTCCGGGGAGGACCCTCAGGGTGAGAGTGAAGGGAGGGGTAGATCGCGGCGAGGCTGAGCAGGAGAGGGCGTCCGGGGCTGAGGGGACTGAGGCGTGAAGACCCTGAGGCAGGTCAAAGGCAAAGTGTTCCGGGTACAGGTGGCCAGCACGGCCGAGGGAGGGAGGGAGGGAGTGGTGAGGGCGGCTGGAGCCTGGGCATGCATGGCCTATCGTCCCAGTTTGCGGAGTTTGGACTCCAAAAGCGGCAGGAGGCCATCGATATGCTTTTAACTGGGGAGTAACACAGCGGTCTGTGTGTGCACGTGTGCCTGCTCCGGCTACATCTGGAGAGTGAATGGGAGGAGGCTGTAGTGGAACCACATAGTCCCCACCCCATAGGCTAGTGTCCCAGTCCAGGTAAAAAAAGAGCCCCCAGGTACAGATACGCAGGTTGCTCACTGTTCAAGAGCATCCGGGCAAGAAGGACTCCTCGGAACAGAAGTAGAGCCCTACTCCACTCACCAAGCCATGAGCCCTGACACAGACCTGAGTCTGGCCAAAGGTGAAGGGGGAGCTTTTTCTTATTTGCTCAAAGGCGGCACTGCCCACTGGACTATGCATCCAGTGGACTGCTGTCTGTATGAAAGGGGTATCTTCCTTGTTCTGTGTTCACTAAGGAGCCACGGTGGGCTAACAGAGGCCCTACAAGAGTGAGTGGTGGCTTGGAACAGAGTGAGGCTATCCAGATGGTAAGAACCCACCTGTAGTGCATTTTGTGGGCAGAAATATCAGGAGTTTGTAATGACCCAAATGGGAATGAGGACAAGGAAGGGATCAGAGATGACAGCCACATTTCTGGCAAGAACCTCTGGAGGATGCAGGAGAGACAGACTTGGTGCCCCTAGTGGTACCATCCTGAAGCCTTCTGGTCAGAAACCAGAGGCTGGCAGCTGGGGCCCAGGCCTAGTGGATGGAGACTGCTGACAGGTCTTTGGCACCCAGCAAGGTCACAAGGGTAGAGTTTAACATGAAATCTGAGGGGTGAGCCATGGGTATTTGCTACATTGGTTTCATACATTTTAATATTTAAACATTTCAGTGTTAAGCAGAATTTGAACTAGGAATCCAAAGGGGCTCCGAAGTACAGTTGAGTTTTCCTAGCGAGTCTAATATTAACCAGTCAAGAACCTAACAGTCAAGCTGAGGGACCAGAGGTCTGTGATCTGTCCCCATGCTCTCCTTCCTTGTGTTCTCACTGGGTTCTGTGGCCTCCTCAAAACCCAGTGGGTTGGTCTCCAGGTTTTTCATCTTTCCTCACAGCCATAAACAATGATAATGTGAGGTTATATTGACATTAAAAAAAAAGACTATAAAACAGTAGGTTTTAACTCATTTTTGGAAAACCATAACTTGAAACTAATGTATAGATGCAAGCATGCAAAGAGAAAAGTCTGAGCGATCATACCAAATGATGGCAGCATCTGGATGGAAGACTTATGGGTCATTCTCTGTGCAAATGATGGAGCCTCGGGTGTGCTGAGGCATGGGTGGTGAAACAGAGGCATGGGAATCCACCTGGCTCTCCCTCAGCTGGATCTGAGAGTCTAAAGGCACTTAGCTAAGATCATGAACTCCCAAAGGTAAGGCACATGTGTTTATTATTTCACATTTTAATTAACTGGTGTAGTGTGTACAATTCATTGGCATTCAGCACACTCACTATGTTGTGCAGCCACCGCCTCTACGTGGTTCCAAAGCATGTTCACACCCCAAAAATATCCCCCTGGCCCTTACATAGTCTCTTTCTCTTCCTCCTCTTGCCAGACCCTGGCAACAACTAACCAGCTTTTTAGATGTTTCATTTAAATTGAATCATGTGGTAAGCGAAATTCTGTGTTCAGCTTCTTGCACTTTGTTTTTAAGGCTCACCCATGTTGTAGCTTGTGTCAGTAGCTCATGGCTTTTTATGGCTCCATAATATTCCACGGTAGAGATATCCCACATTTGTTTATCCATTCATCCATTGAGGGACACTTGGGTTGTTTCCATCTTTTGGCTATTGTGAATTGTGCTGTTGGGTTGAGCACCTGTTTTTGGTTCTATTGGGTATACACCTAGGAGTGGAATTTCTGGGTCATATGGTGATTTTATGTTTAACTTTTCGAGGAACTGCCATACTTCTGTCCAAAGTGGCTGAATTGTTCTACTTTTCCACCAGCAACGAGTCCTATTTTATTTTCCTGTCTGTCTCAGCACTACTGGCTGGTACATAAAGAGAAATCAGATGCCTGGCACTGTGAGGAATCTCTTTTCCTAGGCTCTGTTTGATATTCATGACAATCTAAGAACTAAGGTTGGTATCAATGTCCCCATTTACAAATGGGAAACCAAGGCCAGAAAAGCTGAGATCTCCTACCTGAGTCCTCGTAGAATCACCATTAGTCCAAAGGTTGTGGATTTAAGAGGAAAAAGTCATTAAAACCCCACCCTTATATCTTTGAAAAATATTCCCTACTGCACCAGCGCAGCCCAGAAATGGGCCAGTGAGATGGACAGTTCATAAATGGCATTACATTTTGGAAATCTCAGGGAGAAGAGAACATCAATTCAGTTTCATTTAACTTAAATTCCTTAAATTCTCCTCTAACCTCTCATCAGGGCTCCCCGTAACCCAGTGTCAGACCAATGCCCTGAACTTCTACTGAGAGCTCATTATTTAGAGAAGATGAGTGGAAGAAAATCGTGGCAAGTCCTTTCAAGGGGAAAGAAGTAGGTGGGTGGGTCATCCTTAGTAAGATGTCAGGAATCCTAGAACTATGATTAGAGCTCCACAGAGATGTTCTGTAACTTTACAACTAATTGCCTGAGAGAATGAGAGAGTATCAGGCACTCTCTCAAATTAGGGTAACTCAAATTAGGGCACTCCAAATTAGGGTAACTCCAGCAGATTTCATGCAGATGATCAAAGGGACTAATTCTGAAGGTATGGGGGCGGGTAGAGAGGGACCGAGGATGGTGCAAGAACAAGGTGTATTGCCCAGGAGGACTGAAGCGAAGTGGGAGGGAGAGATGACAGAAACCTGACTCAGGAGTTGAAAGGTTCAGGGACAAAGCCAGCCCACATGACCTTGCAAGGAGGGAGCCAGGAGAATAAATATGCTGGCCTCACGCTGTCTTCCGTTTTCCAGTCTCCTGCGGGTCACCTACTTGGCCAAACCTAAGCAGAAGCCAAGGAGAAGAGTCCTCTTGCTGCCATATAGGTCTGCCGCCCAGAACAGGGGCGGGGCAGGGGTATTGGAAGGATTGATCTACAGGGGAACATGGAAGGTTAGTGGCAGAAAGGACTATAAAAACATCACTACCAGGCAAATTTGATGAATACAAACTTCATTCTGAGACCAACCAGACTAGGTTATGCTTATATTGTGATGTGAGTGCAGAGTGGCTGCCATTAGTAAACCAGAGCAGGGAAGTGGCTGCAGTAGGTAAGGCAGAAGGGCACCTTTCTGCTCTGAAAGTTCTCTATTGAGTACAACTGCTCATCCCCAAGAATTCTACTTTAGAGAAACTATCCGAAAGAAAAACACGTACAAAGATTTATTGCAAAAGTGAAACATTGAAAGCAGTATAATGTGTAATAAGAGACTAGGTATGTTACATGTACCTTGTCAATACAAAGAAAGTGAGTGGCAGCATGGGGCATGGGAGGAGCCATGCCACGGAGGTGTTCAGAGCATGGGGTCTGGGGTTATTGGGATCAGACTATTAGTCCCGGGCAGCTGAAACGCTCTGTCAGGGAAGGAGATGCCTTTGTAATGGAGACGTCTGGGGAAGGCACCGCCTTAACCAAGGGATCAAAGTTTTATCACTAATGATGGGGCCAACGGACATTGCGTGGTGACATGCAATGGCAAGGACTCAAGATTACTTCCAAAAATATTTAAGCTGATGTAAATCATGCACAAATCCAGACAGTGTGGAATTCTGAGAGATACTTCTGGTGCTCTTCAAAAAATGTCAACATCACTCTTAAAAGGTTTGCTGTAG